GCCATGCTAAGTGAATTTTCGCGGCTGTAGGTACCGGTGATAATTTATTCTCTTGTATACCCGGAAGTTTAGCTTCAGTTGCTAATTTATAGTAAAGAATTACTATAAGTATACTGAGAAAAATGTCCGATTAAATATAATCGGATATTCCAATTACATAATAACACACGGATATATCCAATTGAATTGTATATTCCATGAAAAATATGATCGGTTTCTCAATCAAATTTCATCGGTAACTGCATTTTACCGGATACATTTAATCCATAATTTAATCGCAAACACTATTTAATAGATTTATCCGATGAAAAGTATTCTCAGTGTAGAGCACTGAATAATTCAGTGTTATACTTATAGTAATTCTTTAAATATCTGCAATTCTTTATAATTCTTAAAAATTAAAGCTAAAGGTGTAAAGCCCGGTTGCACCAACGTCACGTAACTTTTAATTTTAGCTTAATTCACTCTTCGTCTCTTTCTAAGGGAAAACCGGGGAGCGCACACTTTTGCATAAGGAATTTGATTGGTCCATTTCCTTATGCATTTGCTTATGGACCGATCAATTTTATGCACTTATGCAAAAGTGTGTGCTTCCCGCTAAACAGTTAAAATTAAGCTAAGGTCAAAGTTCAACGACGTTGGTGTAACCAAGCCTAAGTGATTTATATAACACAAATAATAGAAACGCCTAGGATACGGTCAGGCTGAATCTTTCAATGCCTAATAATATTTTTTCTATGCACCTTTTCTCAACTAGTGACGCGTGTTAATCCGTCGTCGACGAATGTCTACGATACGCGAAGATTGAACAAAGGGATGGTTCTCTTCTTTTTCGATTTTCAATGTTAGGAATAATGCACCTCGTGATTTAAGAGTGACGTTGCAAAATGGATTTTCTACCGTGACAACGACACCCATGGCTGCCCGTCGACGTGTTAACCATCTCTTCGTGTATATCTATTTCCACTTCGCTATCTTCGTCGCACAAAGCCGAAAGCTGACGACCGTTCGTTATCGCGTCACTCGAGAACGTCCCGACGATGCGAAAAATTGATGCCACCAAAGGGAGACGGTCCCTCGTCTTCACGGAGACATTGTGTCCGAGCGTTTAAAGCGCGCGTATACGTGGCGCGATGTCTTGTCGCCGTCGTCGTCGCCGTCGCCGTCGCCGTCGCCGTCACCGTCGGTCGCGAAGGAGGAAATCGGACGAGCGGTCGCGAAGAGGCAAACGGCAGGAGAGTTTCAGATGGCCATTTAAGGCGCGGACATTTCGTTCTGTCACCGTGTTCCGTGTTCACCGTCGTGCGACGCCGCAAGAAGGCCACCTACGCGCCGGTGAGGTCGTCTCTCTACGCTCGCGGCTGCATTGTCTTATAAACGGCCGCCGTTTCTCATGATAAGCAGAGTAAAACGAAACTAGACACGCTCTTTTTCCCGTCAAGCGCGCACCTTGGCGCACCTTCGCCACCGAGCGGCGCGACGGGTCCGTTCGCTTTCTACCGCGGCTCCTCCGTAATCTCTTTCTTTAGAAAGAGATCTCTTGAAGACCGCGAAAAATCCTTTTAATTGTTTCATCACGACTAAACAATTTCATCGCTCGCATTTACGTTTACGCGCGTTTGAAAGAAATTTATCTTAAATCACTAGAACATAGCAATGCGCGCATTATTTAGATTTAAGATAGTCGAGAAGCTGATCGATAATGTTTAAATATTGTAGGATTGGCGGAAAATTCGGCGATATATTATGATATATATGTAAATCACGAAATGTCGAAAAATTCAATAATAAAAATATATGGATAGATTATAAAGGAATAGAATAAAAATGACGCATCATCAGAACAAATACAATTAATAATTAAAAGTATTTTTGTTAAATATGACAACTAAATTAAATCAAATTAAAATATGCAAGGTGAAAAAATAATATACTTTCTTTTTATTGTGTGATACGCGCGTAATAACAGATTCTCTACATTTCCTTGCACTATTTCTACAATGCGTAATCTTAGAACATTATAATAAGATCGCGAAAAAAATTATTAGTATAAAGTAAAATGAAGTAATATACCCGAGTGCACATAAACCAAATAATTATACGTTCTCCAGTATTAATTAATTTATTCATTCTAATCTGTTCTAATCTATCCATTTTCAAGCAATGGATCTCGTAAAAACTCATGTTAATTTGTAAAACGGAATGTACTTGAATTTCAACATGCATTTCACATAAAGTAAATTTACTGCGATTTTTACACAGATCCACCACGTCAATTTGAAAGAAAAAGTAATCTACCATTCACCGATCTGATGCGCAATAGATGCGGAGTTGTAGTCTTATACTGCGTTGAAGTGTAAAATACAAATATATATGGTTATTACAGAAGAATTATAATCGCAATTATGGCTTCAATATTTTATATTTACTTTGAATAATTATTTAATAAAATAATTAGTTATACAACATCATGTTATATAACATTTTTTCTTTTCTTTTTGTAACAAGTTGTATAACTTTGCTATATAGCATGTTTTGTTATATAGTGTAGATGCGGCTTAAGAGAAAGACTAGCAGTTACATTAAGGTTTTTAGCAAGTGGAGATTCCTACCAAAGTTTAAGTTTTTTAAACTAATCAGAAACTCTTCCGGGTCGCCAGCAAAAATTAAAAACATATAATTTGGTTGACCATATCTGGCAATTTTAATGATTTCGTATCGCTACGTTTCGACCATGGGTTTTGGTCCTTTTCAAGCGAGTGTAACTACAAATTTAAATTTTACAGATTGATACAGTGTTAACATGTGATATTAATTTGACGGTTGTATAAATGTGTATTACCTGTGTTAATCGTGCATAGGATCACGTGTATTTAGTGGTGTTGTGAGGATGGTCATTGTAATCCTAAACTAAATTCGAGAGTGTTATAGAAAGAGAGAAGCCACAAAGATATTTTTAAATAGACATATAGACTTACATATTACGTGAACTTATCTTGAGCACTGACAAAACATGACTGACTAAATTCGATATGTAAAGGGTATCAGTAAAAACAAGTAAAAGTCAAATAATAGGTCAAGCAATAAATAACATAAATAAATAAATAAATAAATAGATATTAATTTCTCTAGATGTCACGGCTTTGTTCACTAACATTCCAACAGAGTTAGTGATCAAAGCAATAGAAAAAAGATGGTGTGACATCTCTAATAATACAATTTTCACCATAGACCAGTTTTTACATGTCATCAAATTAATATTGGAATCGACCAGCTTTCGCTTTTGTGGAAAATACTATGAACAAGTCTTCGGTAGTCCAATGGGATCTCCATTGTCTCCAATTCTTGCAGACATAGTGATGGATGATCTGGAGACACAGTGCTTGCAGTCTTTAAATTTTAATATTACGACTTTTTATAGATACGTTGACGATATTTTCACTATAGTACCGACATCCAAAATTAATGACATACTCCTAGCTTTTAACACTTACCACCCTAGACTTAAGTTCACACACGAGACAGAAGTCAATGATTCTATCAATTTCCTTATAGATACAACCGTCCAAAGATGCGATGGAATGTTAATTACTAATTGGTTCAGAAAACCCACATTTTCTGGACGATATGTTAACTTTTTTTCAAACCATCCTCTAAAATATAAAGTTAACACAATAGCAAACTTAGTTGACCGAGCAATTATCTTATCTGACAGCCGTTTCCACCAAGTTAACATCCAAATTGTAAAAAACATTTTAACAAATAATTGCTTTCCTACTAAATTCATTGACAAACACATTAAATCGAGACTCAAACAAATTAAATTCCAAAACAACACTAATGACCAGCCAAAAATTTTTGATCCTCGTGGATATATAAGATTCCCATATATCAAGGGTGTTAGCGAAAGTGTTAACCACAAGCTTAGGAAAGTTGGCATTAATACGTTATTGACATCCCAAAAAAACTCGATTGTATCATAAAAAAAGAAAAGGATGCCTTGACCAATGACCAAAAGGTAGAAGTAGTATATAGGATTGACTGCAAGAACTGTAACGCTTCATATGTTGGACCAAGCGATATTTAAAAACTCGTGTTAATGAACATGCGAAAGATATTATGAAACACGTAAGCAACCACTCAGTGGTCAGTAAACACCGTACATCACTTGGTCATGATTTTGATTGGTCTACTCCGCATGTATTACACAGAGAGAGTAACATAAGAAGGAGAGAGATAGCCGAAATGGTTTTTATAAAAAGGACTGAAGATACAATCAATTTACAAAATGACACAGAAAATCTCAACGATATTTATGACCGAATCATAGATTTAACGTAAATTCCGACACTATCATTTATTTATTTATTTATGTTATTTATTGCTTGACCTATTATTTAACTTTTACTTGTTTTTACCGATACCCTTTACATATCGAATTTAGTCAGTCATGTTTTGTCAGTGCTCAAGATAAGTTCACGTATATGTCTATTTAAAAATATCTTTGTGGCTTCTCTCTTTCTATAACACTCTCGAATTTAGTTTAGGATTACAATGACCATCCTCACAACACCACTAAATACACGTGATCCTATGCACGATTAACACAGGTAATACACATTTATACAACCGTCAAATTAATATCACAACATGTTAACACTGTATCAATCTGTAAAATTTAAATTTGTAGTTACACTCGCTTGAAAAGGACCAAAACCCATGGTCGAAACGTAGCGATACGAAATCATTAAAATTGCCAGATATGGTCAACCAAATTATATGTTTTTAAGTTTTTTGTTCAAAATATCAAAGCAGAGCATTTCAAACATTGTGCCAGAAGTATGCGAAGCTCTCATCGACTTTTTGAAGGATCAAATCAAAGTAAGTATATGACAATCTTTTTAAACATTTTTATTTAGACTGATATGAAATAAATTTATAAAAATAGTAAGTCATCTTATAAATCCATTAAAACGCTTCCGAAATCAGCAGTATTCCCATCACTTTTTTTCTGAGCTCCATGAATAGTTTGGTGCATCTGGTGTAGCATCAAGTAAGATAGGTGTAGATGTATCAGAGCGTATAGATGAACCAGGTGTGCTATTTGATGTTCGCTGGTCATTTATCTCAGCTCGGTAGAGAGAGCTACTTATCTCAAATTTTGTGTAGCTTTGAACTGATCTGCTTTTTAGATTTCGCAAAGTATTCGCAACATGTTCCCCAAACACGTCAAACTCATCTCGTTTCTTCACGTTACTTGATAACTGTTTTATTATCGTGTACACTTCTTCACACATCTCGTCTGCTTTCCTCTTAGTGCTTTTTGCTTGCTTGCTTGCTTGCTTGCAAGCTTGCAAGCTTGGTGCTTGGTGCGAGAGAGAGAGAGGAATGCTTTTGTCCACAGTTTTTTGTTGACAGCTTCCTGTATTATCTTGCACTTGTAGATGTAACTCATTGAGTAATTGCCCATCATTCTAAAAAAAATGAAAATAAGTATATTTTTAAAATAAATTTAATACTTTTTTTTAGGTGCCTAAATCTCAAGAAGAATGGCTGACAGTTGCAAATGATTTTAACAACAAGTGGAATTTCCCCCACTGTTGTGGCAGTGTTGATGGAAAACATATATGTTTACAAGCTCCAATAAAAAGTGGCAGCGACTACTTCAATTATAATATATTCAAAAATTTTTTAGCATTGTACTTTTAGCTATAGTGGATGCTAACTACTGCTTTAGATTTGTGAGTGCAGGATGTCAAGGACGTTTGTCTGACGGTGGTGTTTGCGAATACAAAATTTAAAGAGCTGCTTGAAACGTCATCTTTGAATTTGCCATCAATAAGAGTTCTACCGGGAAGAACGTCGCCGACACCTTTTGTGTTTCTAGCTGATGATGCATTTCCTTTGCAACCACACATTATAAAACCCTTCCCAGGTACTCAATCTAAAGGTTCATCAGAGCGAATTTACAACGGTAGACACAACAGAGCAAGGCGTATCGTTGAAAATGTGTTTGGCATAATATCTACTGTGTTCAGAGTCTTAAGAAAACCAATGCTTCTTGAGCCTGAAAAAGCAGAAAAGATAGTTTTAGCATGTGCTTATCTCCACAATTTCTTGCGGAAGAGTCAATCGTCTTCATCGTACTGTCCACCAGAAACTTTTGACTCAGAAGACACAGTCACCGGTGAATTAATACCTGGCGAATGGAGAGTTGTAGGCCAACCAAATGGCACTTTACTAAAACTTAAAAGGGTTCCAAGGAAAGCTAGTGTGCTTGGCAAACAAATAAGAGAAGAATTTTCTTTGTACTTTTTGAGTGAAGAGGGAAAAGTATCGTGGCAAAACAATTACTAAAATTTTGAATTAGTTTTTGTATTTTAAATGTTTATTTAAGGCCGAGTCACAATTAGAACGTGTCGTTCCGTTTCTCTATACTCAGCTCACTCTCTTCTATACTATACTTTGTATATTCTACACTATAATTTGTAATAAAATATATATTGGAATTTTTATGGTTTCATTCTTGTGCTTACCTCTATTATTAAATGACTATTGTTGGTATCCCGTGACTGGACAATATCTTGGTTGGAAGGTGAGAAACTAGCTTCAGTTGAATGACGTGGCTCATTTTTATCTTTTAAAAACAGAAGCATTTTGAAGAAGATCCATTTTGATTTGTATGGAGCGTCCGCTCCATCTCCACTCTTCCCCTTTTTTAATTCACGCTGGAATTGTCCAATAAGCATTCGCATTTTTTTCTCCACTTCGTTTGCACTCATTTCCATATCAGCACCTAATTCAGTCCATGCGTCATGTTTCTTATTTCTGTCCTTGAAATCCATAACGGTAGGGTCCCACAATACGCGTTTTTCCCTAAATAATTCGATTGAACGAGTGGTCATATCTTTTGACCATTCCATTGCGCGAAATAATAATATTTATTTACGACGCACAGTCTCTGAAAAAGTCGAAATAGACGCGTAAACAACATCTAAAGTTATATACACGTTATTGCGAATAGTATTATCACAGCCCCGGTGGTCGAGCTGGCTAAGATGCCCGTCACGGATTGTAGGGAGGTCCCAGGTTCGAATCCTGGCTGGGGTAATATTTTTCGCAATAAGAATTTTAATTGCCAGACACGGTCGACAAAAATCACCGATGTTATTAATTTACAAT